GTCCAATTTTGTTCACCACTGTCTCCTTAGTACCTGGAGTTATGCATAATATATTGTCATTTAAAACACACATCACAACGGATAAGATTAAATCAAAACTTGCTTCATTCTCTAGTTTATTATCATCTTCCAAACTCTAAGGGGATCTCAATGCTATCTCCCCTCATTTCATCCCTGGGAAAGGCCAGAGGACCAATGTGGGTTGAGCCTGGAGTAGGCTTTAGCCAGTCATAGGAGACAGACTTTTTTTTGTGTGTGTGTCCACAAATTTTTGCACTAGTAACCAGTTTCAGGGGAGGACTCCAAACGTTCCTGCCCATTGCATCTTGGTTTTAGAGTCACTAAGGGAAATTCAATGCTGTCACTCACTGGACAGACAAGATTTTACTTAGAGAAGAGACAGAGCAGGAGCAGTTTCAATAGTGGTGTCAGTTCTGGCTAATGGGTCTCTCCTGGGCACTGACACAGGCAACTGGCCTATGTGCCACACCCCTCTCATTCTGCAGTGGAAGCAACCTGGCCTTTCTCCTCAGAGGATGTATGTAACAGTGGGTTGACCAAGTGACATATAATGTACATACTTTAAACAGAAACAAGTGTAGTTAGTGAGCCCACAATAAGGAGATATTCCCACATTGGGTGATAGGCCAGGCAGTGTGTGTGGCCTCTTTAATTCTTGGTAAGGTAGGGTTCCAGACTCAAGGCTCATTCTTATGCAGCTGAGTGGGGGCTGAAAGACTGCCTGCAGGAGACTGCCTCTTCCAACACAAAGTCTTCTAGATTCTTTAATTAATTTAATTTTTTTGGTTTTCTCCTTACATTCAGTCTTTGGAACTTCTCTTATCTTCTTTCTTTTATGTACCTGGCTTTGGATGGAACCCAGAGAAACAAAGCCTAAGCATAAGATAACATGCTTCATGTGTGGTCCTACCTGTTCTATAATGGATGCTACACTGAGATTTGGGGGAGTGGGGTCAAAGCTTCAGCAGTAAAATACAGAGATTTTATCCAGTAGTTTTTCTGCATGCCTCTTTTGTTAACGTATAACATCAATTAGAACATTCATGAACTCAGTCTCCTCCATCTTTCTGCCACAGAGACAAGACTCCCATTTATTTGTCCCAAATTATTCAATCAGTTGTGTCCAAACAGAGCCCCAACAATCCCTAGGGGTTTTGTAGGTATGCCTCCAAGGAGCACTGCAGGGGATAAATCAGAAAGGAGCATATGGGCCACCAGAGCAACAGGTAAGAGTTCATGTTATATGATTTTCTTGGTGTTTTACCATGTGCTATATATAATATATAATGGTCCGTGTGTGTGTGTGTGGGGGGGGTGTGCTTTACCTACACAACAACCCTACTTTGTCATTGTCCTCTTCATTTGATAGGCGAAGAATTTAAGGCAAAATGATTCAGTGACTAATGTGAGACAGTTAGCAAGGTTCAGAACTATGGCATTCTGATCTCTGAGCCAGCCTTCTTGATTTCCAAGTTATATTAGAGTTTATTGTGTATTAGGGACTGTGCTAAGTGCTCTACAAGCACTATATAATTTAGTCCTCAAAAATGGCCCCGAAAGGTGGATACTGTTATTATCACCCTACCAACTGAGAAGTTTAGGATAAGGAATGTGTTCACAGTCATGAAGGCAGAGCTGGGATTTAAACTTGAATTTGCCTGATTTAAGAGCCCAGTCTTAATCTCCATGTTCTACATGTCCTCCTGTGTATGTTGGCATGTGCCCTGTCTCTTCTCCTATAGTACACGCTTCTTGAGGAAAAGGGACTGTAAATTCTTTACCTGTCTTTCAGGAGCCTTGGCAAGGTGCTTGACACATAGCCTGTGCTCATATGCCAGTTGAACTGAATGGAAGTCAAGGGATGCAAAAGGAATAAGGGTCCTTGGGAGGTGAGAAGATCAAGGAACTCTTAAGTCCAAGTGATGAAAAGCTGTTCTTGTGGGTATTGAGGAGCTGGAAAGGGCAGCTAAAAACTGTCTGATACCAAAATCATTCAGAAGGGTAGGGAGTGAGATAGATGTGGTAAAAAGCTTGGAGAGGCTAAATGCCCAGGAGAGCCATAGAATGCTCATGGATAAGTGTCTTCTGTTTTTCTGTTCCAGAAATTTACTTTTCTTTCTGTTCTCTAAAATGATTAGGTTTCCATGTTGACATACTAAAGGTTCAAGAAACTATTCAATAACCAGAATACTAAGTAATTAAACCCAATTACCTTAGCTGGAATTTTCTGTTTTTGATTGTAATGGTATTGTGTCTTGTAATTGTAATTGGCTGTGTCTTCACTAATGTGGTAAAAAACAACTGTTTTGCTGGGTGACATAAATGACTTCAACACTGTCAATGAAGTCTACAAACAGTATTTCAAGAGTAGTTTTCCTGCAAGAGCTGCTTACCAGGTTGCTGCTTTGTCCAAAGGAGGCCGTGAGGAGATTGAAGCAGTGGCTGTCCTAGGACCTCTCACCACAGCATCGCTATAAGTGGGCCCAGTGTTATTTTATCTGGAATTGTAACAATGTTTTTAAGTTTACATCTTAATTTTTACCGTTGACGTTGGAAAGTGTATGATTGGCTAAAACATTTGAGGTCATTTTGGAAATAACCATATAATAAGGGGAATTAAACATGAATTGGAGATCAGATGACAACTCCAGTTACTGGTGCCATAAATCACACATACACTCATGGTACTGGATGTGGGGAAAGAGACACTCATTACATACACAAATAAATGAAAGTAGAGGGAACTAAATCATGGGAGAGAGGAATTGCCATTCCTAATAAATAATTAAGAGCACACATAATTCAGTTAAATGCTATTAACTTAATGATGTGAAATAATTAATCCTCACCTCAGCTATATAATTCTGCTTTTACTTGAATAAAATTAAAGTACATGAAACTTGAATGGTAGAGGTAAAGGAGAATAAAGTGACCACAATTTTAATAGATAGTATTTTTCTAATGGAAAATAGACATGCAGATTAAAAAAAGAAGAGGATGGTCATCCCAAACAGTAAGAGGCTGGCAATACCTAAGCTTGTCCTAAAGAGGGAGCCTGATCTTAGCACACCTGTTCAGACTAGCCTTACAGTAAGAGCTCATTAAATGACAGCTATTATTTTTGTTAACGTAGGTGAGGATGCTTCCAGGTGCCCTTTAGCTGAGAACCACTTTTTTTTTTAAATTTTTAAAATTTATTTATGATAGTCACACACACACACACACACACACACACACACACACACACAGAGAAAGGCGCAGAGACACAGGCAGAGGGAGAAGCAGGCTCCATGCACCAGGAGCCCGACGTGGGATTCGATCCAGGGTGTCCAGGATCACGCCCTGGGCCAAAGGCAGGCGCCAAACCGCTGCGCCACCCAGGGATCCCTGAGAACCACTTTTTGAGATTAGGTACCTCCTTGTTCTATTTCCATGATTAGCAAACAACTCTGAGCATCTGACTTCAGAGAGAGTGCATACACAGGTCAGGAAAGTGGCTGGTCAGCCAGAGTTGATCTCAGGTTAACTTTACCACTGAATTACCATTATTCTTGTGAATTAATACTGACAATATTGACATTCTGGAGTGTTGGCTCTGTGTACTTGTTTAAAGGGAGCCTGCCTCAAAGGACAGAATCCTCTCCACGGCCTCTCGGAGCAAATGACCAGGGTTCAATTCCTGGCTGTACCTTGCACTATCTCCATAGCTTTGAGCAAGCTATGCAATCCTTTATGTCTCAGTTTCCCTTATCTGTAAAATAGGAAAAATAATAGCACCTACTTCTGAAAGTAGTTGTAAGAATACAATGAGATAATGCGCAGGCGTTGCCACAGAGCAGGCCTTCCATAAACTTTAGCTTTTGAGGTGAGGTTCCCCTAGGGCCAAACCATGAACTGTGGGGAAAAATCAAGGTAAGTGCTATCCACTCAATCAGCCCAGGTTCCCAGAGTGCCATCCTCTGCTTGTGTATGGATCGCCTTGACGTTTGAAACAAGCCACTAATACTTACCTAGTCTCGGGTTCTAGATACATCAACTCATTCAATATTTATGGCAACTCCATGGGGTAGATGCTACTATCATCCCCATTTTACAGATGAGGAAACTGAGGCATGGAGAGGCGCTTAATAATTTGCCCGAGCGAGTAAATGCTGGCTCTCGTTCCAGGAACTACCTTTTACTCACTTGTGAACCTTTTTTCCTCTTTCTCACACTCGTATCAGAGGGATTAAAGACTCATTTTTTTCCCCATCTTCTGACAGTATTTTCAAGACCTAGCTTCTGCTTTCTTAGTGAGCTTGGACTCCACCCAAAAATAGACCACGTAGTCACAAAACTGGCGGGGTGCTTTGTTATTTGCGAAAAGAATCGAGTCGCATCAAATCAAGCCGAAGTTCACCTCCTCTCACGTCAGCACCAGAGAACACGCCTGTACTTGTACTTTCCGCTTAGCAGTTCTTCAAGGGTGGTGTGTCCTCATGTTGCAAAAAACTGCAAAGTAGGAACAAACGTAAAAGAGCGCCTCACAGTTACTAGAGCGCATACAATTATGAGTTGCGTTAGAGTGCACGCGCGTCCCAGCCCCCTGGGTGAAGGCCTGTACCCGCCCCACACGGAAGGCCGACTGGCGTTTCCGTGCCCTGCAGGTCTCGTGAGGGCCTCTCAGAAGATGCTCACGTCGCACAGTAACGGCAGAGGTGAGGACAGGAAGGGCTCGCCCGCCCCCTCCGCCTTCGCGGCTCCTGCCGGAAGCCCCGCGCCCCGCGAACGTCCGCCCGCCGCCCACCGCCTCAGCGGGCTCCCGCGTCCGCCGAGAGAGCCTCGCCTCTCCCCGGTGGAGGCGCCGGATTGGCGGAGCCTGAGCATGCGCAGAAGCTCAGCCGCCGCGGGGCGGGCCGGGGCGCCCCCGGGTCCCGCCTCCCTCGCCCTGACGAAGGGAAGCGAGCCAACGGCAGGGCGCGTGCGCAGACGCGGCCGGGGCGCCGGGGCGGTGGGGGGACGCCTGGAGAGCGCATGGGCAGACAGACTGTACGTCCGTTTGTCCGGAGCGGAGGGGAGAGTGGGCGCCATCTTCTTCTCGGCTCACTGAGGGCTCCACCTGTGCCGGGCAGGCTGCTGCGACGAGGAGCGCCCCCCGCGCCCGGCCGCGTGCGTCCGACTCGGCAGCCGCGGTGTGTGTTTACTGCCGAGCGCGGAGCAGTTCCCCTCGGGGCGTCGGGCTGGGGAGGGGCTGGCGCCGGGACGGAAGCTCAGGGAAAGGCGGGGCCGGCGCCGCGCCAGGAGCTGGCGTAGCCTGTGCCGTTAGGGCACCTCGTTCCCTGCCGCACCCCGGCTCCCGGCAGCAGCCTCCGTGTGGCGGGGAGGGCGCGCTTCCCAGTGTAACTGCGAGCGAAGCTCGCCGAAGGATGTCCTAGGTGGTTTTTTATTCTTTGCTGTGTCATCGTAGTCAGTGGTGGCGGAGGAGCGCTGGAGGCCCGGCGCCGCTGGCGTGAGAGCGGCCAGTGCTGGCGTGAGGAGCGGGGCGGTCCACGCCGGGCGAGGTAGGGTGCAGTGTGCCCTTGGGACGGCGTGACGGAAGGGCACGGAGGTTGGGCGGTCCAGGTTAATTGGAAGGCTGATGCTGGCCGAAGGTCTGGCGACGGCTTCGGATCCCACGTAGCAACTTCGGCCTGGCGCGGAGGAAGGAAGCCCTGACCCCTGGGAGTACGGACAAAGGCTTTGAGCTCTAGAAGCGATGCCTGCGGATGATCCCCATTTGACGATGATGGATGTTCTGGGAAATCCTGTGCCGAGTGGATTCGTCTTCGTTTACAGTTCCCGTTAAGGACTATGGCTCGGTGTCGTCATCATGCCTTTGGTTTTTATTTTAACCACCTACATTATTAAAAGGATAAAAGGCAGATCTTCATAAACACATAATCGTGGACTGGGCTAGATTATTTTCTGCAGGGGAGACTCCTGCATTTAGAATTTCACCATAACTCTGGGTTTTAAGGGATAGTCATTTTCTTCCCCCTACCATATCTGGAAAATGACTTGTTATTTGCTAGTTAAAATCAAACGGATCTGAGATAATACCTATTTGAGTTTAATCTCTTTCCCGATCAGGCTTGATTAGAAGATGCAGATTTCGTGTTTAGTGATAATGGTGACCAAGTGGGATGAGTCGTGGTTAAAATCAGCAAAATGATTTAAAATTGAGCTTATTAATTTCAGTGACTTGCCCTTATAGGAGTTTTTAAGGACTCACCCCCATCTTTTCACAGGTTAGAAGTTCTAACATCCCTGTCTTCATATCAACACAGTAGCAAAAATACTTGTGTTGCATTCATAAGTGGAAAGAAATTTAACTGCAGTGTACTTTAGTGTATTTTGTGTATTTCAGTTGTTGTGTCATGTGCTAAGAGTAGAATTTCTAGGGAATTTACTTAAGGAAATAACATGGGAACCACAGGAAAAGTTCTTTTTGAGAACTAGTCTCTTATTGGTGGTCTCTCAGGTGTGTCAATGTTGAGGGATAAAATGATACATTGTCCCTATGAAGGACAGAGAAGTGTTAATATGTGGCAAACTAGAAAAAAAATATTTTAAATTGCTTGAATTGGAATTCATAACATTTGTACTCATGGAACCATTTAGTTAAAATACTGTTTGTAAGCGAGGGAGAATAAATTAGAAATTTTTTGAATTTGACAGGTTATTCCTTTAAATATCCTTGAGTATCTGTAGATATATTTATGTTCTCAGGATAAATCTCTTATATTTTTGAAAAAGTTTAGGGAGAGACAAATCTTACTGTATCTTACTTTCTAAAATATTTTAACAGTAAAGGAGCCAAGTCAGTTTGCATAGGAAGGAATCTTGGAATTTTAGTGGGGACAACTATTCCAAAGCCATTTGTAGTTCTTTAAATATTGGTGTGGATATTGGTTTGTTGAAAGAACCAGGCTTGTACTTAGTTGATATTTTTGGTACTGTGCGGATTTTTTTTAATAGACCATTTTTTTAGAGCAGTTTTTTAGGTTTATAGCAATATGGAGCAGATGAAACAGATTTCCCATATACCCCCACAATGTACCATGTAAATATTATAATAGTAAATGTCATTAATATTTTCTGTATCAATTTGGCATTGATAATTCAGGTATAAAAATATGCCAGGTAATTTCTTGATATTTTAGTTTGGCTTGTAGTTTAAAAAGTTTATAATCAGTGGACCATTTTCAAAGGAAAATAAACCTTGCAGACCTGAAAGAATATGTCTTACATAAGTGTAAATACTGAATTAAAACAACATTTATTGGCACATTAAAAACACAAATTTATAATTATTAATTTAGCAGCTCTTAAAAACGTATTCAGGAAGACTGTATTAAATATTGTTACTTTGGGTATCTCTGAAAATAATAGATGTAAATTTCCTTAACGAAAGACTAAGTTAAGATTGTTCAGCAGTAAATACTGATAATCCCTAAACATTCTAAATAAATGTGTTTTTATTCTATTTTCTACATTGTCTTTTGGGTTTTCTCAATGCAGGACAGTTTGAAATGGAATAAGCTTGTTAGTGTAATAAGATTCTATATTTGAACACTCCCTATTTGGCTTCAGATGATTTTAATAGTAATTGTTTTAGAAGTTTGGGACAAGGAGTAGTAGTAGTTGAGTTTTTATTTTATTTTAGGGGTATTTTATTTTTATTTTACTTTTTAAAGATTTTATTTGTTAGATTCCAAGCAGACTCTGTGCTGAGCACTGAGCCCATTGCAGGGCTTGATCTCACAACCTTGAGATTGTAACCTGAGCCAAAACCAAGAGTTGGATACTTAACCAACGAGCCACCCAGGTACTCCTGTTTTAGGGGTATTTTAGTATTTGCCTTGATTATATTAGAATCAGGAAACTTGGTTCCATGTTTGGAAGTGTGAGCTGTAGCCATTGGTTTGAGTCTATTGCTTTAGAAATCGGTTTTTGAATTCAAAGCGTTAGTGTCTTTTTTGTTGTATCATTTTGAATGGTTGCCTTATTAGTTTGATTTGGCCTTATGTTTTAAAAGGGTGGAAAATTGCAAGAGAGTTGCACTTAATGAGCTAAGTGTTTGGCCATTTCACAAGTGGAAGTGATAGAAGGCTTTTGGGAATTTTTGGTGTTTCTAAGTTGTCATTTTACTTGTAGAACAGTGCAAGTGCATGTAAAATTTATATACAGTGAAATGCACAGAACTTAAGGATAGTATTCATTTAGTCTTGATAAGTTTATACACCCATGTAACCAACACTAATAAAAATGTATAACCTTTATACACCTTTTTCCTCGTGCCACTTCCAATCAAGGAGCCATTCAATTTCCAGAAGTTTTTTTTGTTTTTAAATAATTTGCAGATGCCTACTTGGAATTTGAACTTCATTTTTGCTGAAGGATGATTAATTTCCCTTGAAACAAAGAAGACCATTTTGTAATGCCCATAGTCGTGGTTCCTTATATTGCTTCTTAGTAGGTGATTCTGAAGGGAATATCCTAATCTGGCGTCGTTTAAGATCAATTACGGGGTCCAAGGATTAATTATATTTCATTTTCTTTCCACAGTTAAGTTGCTTTTACAGAATTAACAGGTCTCCAAGAAATTATAAAAAGGTAAGATATCCAGAGCTTAAGGCTTTTCACAGAAGCTTGACAAAAAAAATGTAAAGTAGAATAGGACATGTAGGTACATACACATGGCTTCTGTACTTTATGTGTGGCCAGTGATGTATACTAATGGTAGACAGTTTATTATCATAAGCAAAAATTATGTACTGACCATAGATGGCTTTTTGAATATGTACAACTCATTGTTGGTTAGTAAAATTCTTTAACCCACAAAGCACTCTCTCATGTTTTAGGAGAAGGTAGGTTTCTAAGTGAGTCTGAAAATAGTTTGGTCTTGTTGTGAAGCAGTGCTTGGCAGGCTTACAAAGATTATTTGATATTTTTGATGATTATATTGTATAGGATAGGTGATATGAAATACTTCTTTGAAATAGTTGGTTTATTTGTATGTTTAGATGGGAAGTTTATTCTTTAAGAGATTAGATACTGTATTTTTACATATACATAATTTTACATATTTTTTTGTATTTATAATAAAAATTTTACATATTTTTACATAATAAGGTATTTATCATACCTTATTTTCATTTATAAATGCTGAAGAAGGTAGGAACCAAGTAATTATTAAGTTTAGTTGGGGATAAGGTACTTCAAAAATAAGACTTGCTATTATGTGTACCTTTTTGTCTGCAGGTCATTATTGCTGTGGTTTGAGCTCAGCATGGCTGTAGTCATCCGTTTACTGGGGCTTCCTTTTATTGCGGGGCCTGTGGATATTCGTCACTTCTTCACGGGATTGACTATTCCTGATGGAGGAGTGCATATAATTGGAGGGGAAATTGGGGAGGCTTTTATTATTTTTGCAACAGATGAAGATGCAAGACGTGCCATAAGTCGTTCAGGAGGGTTTATCAAGGATTCATCTGTAGAGCTCTTTCTTAGTAGTAAGGCAGAAATGCAGAAGACTATAGAAATGAGAAGAACTGATCGCATAGGAAGAGAGCGACCGGGATCTGGGGCGTCAGGGGCTGGCAGCTTATCTAACTTTGTCGAGGCTATTAAAGAAGAAGCAAGTAATTCTGGATATGGCTCTCCAATTAATCAAGATGCTGGGTTTCATACTAACGGTACAGGACATGGTGATTTAAGGCCAAGAAAGACACGGCCATTGAAGGCCGAGAATCCTTACCTGTTTCTGCGAGGTTTGCCTTACTTAGTAAATGAAGATGATGTACGTGTCTTTTTCTCTGGTTTGTGTGTGGATGGCGTAATTTTCTTAAAACATCATGATGGCCGAAATAATGGTGATGCCATAGTAAAATTTGCTTCATGTATTGATGCTTCAGGTGGTCTTAAGTGTCATAGAAGTTTTATGGGTTCAAGATTCATAGAAGTAATGCAAGGCTCAGAACAACAGTGGATTGAGTTTGGTGGTAATGCAGTTAAGGAGGTTGACATTCCTATGAGAACTGAAGAACATTCTCCGCCAAGAGGAATTAATGATCGGCATTTTCGAAAACGATCTCATTCAAAATCTCCCAGAAGAACACGTTCTCGTTCTCCTCTTGGATTTTATGTTCACTTAAAAAATCTGTCCCTAAGTATTAACAAGAGAGATTTAAGAAATTTCTTTAGAGATACTGATCTGACTAATGAACAGATTAGGTTTTTATATAAGGATGAAAGAAGAACGAGATACGCCTTTGTGATGTTCAAAACTCTGAAAGATTATAACAGTGCTTTGGGTTTACATAAGACTGTTTTACAATATCGTCCAGTTCATATTGATCCTGTTTCTAGAAAACAGATGCTGAAGTTCATTGAATGTTATGAAAAGAAAAGACCAGTGTCCGTGGAGAAAGAGAGGCTTGGACATGTTTCACAGAAATACTCTCAAGAAGGCTATCCCGGCCAGAAACTGTGTATATACATAAGAAATTTTCCTTTTGATGTTACAAAAGTTGAAGTGCAAAAGTTCTTTGCAGACTTTTCTCTTGGAGAGGATGATATTTACTTACTTTATGATGACAAAGGAGTTGGTCTGGGAGAAGCATTGGTGAAATTCAAAACAGAAGAACAGGCCATGAAAGCTGAGCGTTTAAACCGGCGGAGGTTCTTGGGGACAGAGGTATTGTTAAGACTGATATCTGAGGCACAGATGCAGGAGTTCGGCGTAAGCTTTTCCTTGATGTCCACGGAGAGAATGCAAGGCCACTCGCAGTCCTGTGACAGAGACGACCATTCCCGTTCATTTGACTCCAGTGACCCGCCACTATACTCCGCTGGCCCCTCAGAAAACTTCAGGCATCAGCAAGAGGACTTGAGGCAGCTGGACAGTTTCAAGCAAACCCAGGCGGACTTCCGGCAGCTTGACCGGAGCCTTCCGGAAGACTTCAGGCATTCCCCGGAGGACTTCAGGCGCTCTCCCGAAGACTTCAGGCGCCCTCGGGAGGAGCACTTCCGGCGGCCTCTCGAGGAGGATTTCAGGCGCCCTTGGGAGGAGGGCTTCCGGTACCCTAGAGAGGAGGACTTCCGGTACCCTAGAGAGGAGGACTGGAGGCGGCCCCCCGAGGAGGATTTCAGACGGCCTCCCAAGGACGACTTCAGGCGACCCCCCGAGGAGGACTGGAGGCGGCTCCCCGAGGGAGACTTTAGGCGGCCACCTGAGGAGGACTGGAGGCGGCCTCCTGAGGACGACTTCAGGCGGCTTCCCCAGGGTGAATGGAGACGACCACCCGAGGAGGACTTCCGGCGGCCTCCCGAGGAGGACTTCCGGCGACCTCCCGAGGAGGACTTCCGGCGGCCTCCTGAGGAGGACTTCCGGCGACCTCCCGAGGAGGACTTCCGGCGTTCTCCCGAGGAGGATTTCAGGCGTTCTCCTGAGGAGGACTTCAGGAGACCACCCCCGGAACACTTTAGGCGGCCGCCCCCGGAGCACCTTAGGCGGCCGCCCCCGGAACACTTCAGGCGGCCGCCCCCGGAGCACTTCAGGCGGCCGCCCCCGGAGCACTTCCGCCGACCTCCTCCGGAGCACTTCCGCCGGCCGCCGCAGGAGCACTTCCGCCGGCCGCCGCAGGAGCATTTCCGGCGTCCCCGCGAGGAGGATTTCAGGCGCCCGCCGGATGAAGATTTCCGAGGCCCTCCTGACGAAGACTTTCGGCAGACGGCCGAGGAGGACTTCCGGAGCCCGCAGGAGGAAGACTTCCGGGGCCCCTCTGACGAGGACTTCAGGCGGCTCCCGGAAGAAGACCCCAGGGAACCTCCGGAGGAGGACCCGAGACTTCCCGACCCCTTCCGGCCTCCCGGTGAGGAGTTCCGGAATCCACCCGATGACTTCAGAAGCCATCGCCCTTTTGTGAATTTTGGTCGCCCAGAAAGTGGCAAGTTTGATTTTGGAAAGCGCAGTTTGGGAAGTTTTCCTGAGGGGAGATTTATGCCTGACCCCAAATTAAATTGTAGTTCAGGCAGAGTGACACCTATTAAGATAATGAATCTTCCATTTAAAGCTAATGTTAATGAAATCCTAGACTTTTTTCATGGTTACAGAATCCTGCCGGATTCCGTTTCGATACAGTATAACGAGCAAGGATTACCTACAGGGGAGGCCATTGTCGCCATGATAAACTATAACGAAGCCATGGCTGCTATCAAAGATCTCAATGACCGGCCAGTGGGCCCTCGCAAGGTTAAGTTAATGTTGCTCTAGGGAGCATTTCTGAGTTCACTTCCCTCCCCGCAGTGTTGATGCAGTAAAATGCATTTGTTTGGTTTTTTTTTTTTTTTAAGTGTTTATTTTCAATGATCTGATGAAAAGCATTTTAATTACGACTTGTGAATAGAACAAATGTAAATATTAGAATGTGAATCTGGTTTTCTTTTGCTTGCAAATTGCCACTCGCTTTTTTCTAACTTAAAATTATATATGCCCTTTTTCTGGACAGTGGGGGAGAAAATTCCCCGAGCGTGTTCATTTTTGTTGATGTCATGGGTAAACCTCAAGACTTGTATAGCAGAGCTGTACTGGGGGAAGAGGAGTTTTATATTCCCTTTGTTTCCAGTCTGTAGTCTACATCTTCTACTGTATAAGGAAATGGTCAGTGACTCATTGTTCAGGTTTAGCATTTTTATTGCTAACTGCCTGCGGAACTAATGCCCTCTTCTTTGTCTGAGATTTTACTGTGTTAAGCCTCCCATTAATTATACATAGCTCAGAATGGACAGACTGTGAATTTCAAGTTTACTTATGTAAAAAAGCTTAGGAGATTCTTGAAGTTTCCATGCTCATAACTTTGGAAAGTTTCACAAAAATAATAATAAAATGCAACTGGATAGACCAACCAGTTAACTTTACTTGTATTTGTGTAAGAAGAAAAAAGAATTATAGCTTCTTCTGTGAAGTTTTCAACAGCTACCTTAGACAGTATTTATGACTGCATCGGCCAAACAGCCTACTGTAATAGCATAGAGTGCTACGTGTAGTTCTGTGGTTTCTTCCACGTTTCATCAACCAAACTGATGAGATTAACTCAAAATACTTAAAAGACAAAAAGTAATTACAGGTACCAGGGACATTCAGGCTTATGCTGGGAAGAATCTGATAAATGGATATAGTTTGTTTTTACGTAGAATTTAGTGATGATTCATTTAACTTGTGTTTTTTATTAGGTTTTCAATTTTAAATTTGAAGACTCTGTATCCAGAGGCTCAATAACTAGATATAATCAGACTTTTATGAGATGAATTTTGACTTATTTGATATTTAGTGTGGGCGTTTTACAAGTACTAGATTTTACTTTTTTAATACCCATAATAATATTAATGGCTAACATTTATTGGGCACTTACTGTGTGCTGTGCAGTAAAAGTGCTTTTACATGCATAATCTCAATTTAAATATTCCCTAAGAAGTATGGAATATTATTTATGTCTATTTCACAAGTGAGATAATGAAGTTTGGAGGTTAAGTAACTTGCCTGATTAGCTAGGAAATCATGGAGGCAATTTCCAGCCAGACAGACCACTGACTCCAGTTCATGCTCTTAACGCTTTTGCTTATTAACTTTGTTAAACCGTACCTCTAATCTTAGTAAGATCATGCTAAAAATATTTTGAAGAGTAAATCAGTATTTTCTTCACCTCCATTGTTGCTTTAAAAGTACCATTAAAAAACAAAATTAGTATGCTCATTGTTCATAAAAGACAAAAAAGTGACTTTAAAAGTTTTTATATATCCAGGGCTTCTCTTGGATAATAACATTATAAATAGACTTCTAATTAAAAATTATTTATTTTATCAAATATGATTTGACTTTGGTTGGCCTTTATAGTTTACCTAAAACCAGCTAATTTAAAGATTTTCCTCAGTTCTGTGATCCAGAAGTTTACCATTTTGAGCAAATAAGAATAGAATTTGCATCTATATGTGGTAGTTTAGTCATTTAACAGGATATTGCAGAAGTAGAATACTTTGTCAGTACTTAGCCATTTGTTATCATTTTGGATGAATCTTCAGTGATTTAAGAGAAACCAACTCAAGTTTCTGTGTGTTTAATTACAGTGAATATAATTGCTAGTACAATAAATAAACTGGTAATTTGGTTTGAAAAAGACCATATTTTTGCACAGCTTTTCCCAGCTCTGCTTTCGGTGGCATGTTAATAACTTAAAATGGCCATGATAGGATTACTTACGCCGTGGAAGTAGGCAAATGCAGTAAATCGGCATTTTCCATGTTGGAGAGCCAGTTAACCAAGCATATCACCAATTTCAAACACACAGAATACTAAATTCTCCTACACCCATCAACATAGTTGATTGACCATGAACAACCTGGGTTTGCACTGCAGCTGTCCACTTAAACATAGAATTTTTTCAATAAAGACAACATTAAATATTTTATGATTTTATCAATACAAATATATGTTGATTAACTTATTGGTAAGGCTTTTGATCAACAGTATGCTATTAGGTTTTGAGGTAATCAAAAGTTAACACAGATTTCAAGTGCACAGCAGTCAGCGCCCCTGACCCTGGCATAGTTCAAGGGTCAGCTGTATCAGCCAGTTTTGCCTCCTCTCTCCTATTCCCAGATCTACTAGGAGCAATACTGGTTCTTTAGTTTAATACCCAGCAGCATTTGAATTGTCTTATAGCCAAACAGTTTTGTCAGAATGTATCTGAAAAATAATAGTTCATGTCTAGGAAGTAAAAATAATCCCACAAACCAAGAGATGGTTAACAATCTTTGGGAGTGTACCTTTATCACTTACTGATAATATTGTCTAGCTCTTGTTTCACAGATCATCTATTAAGCAGTGACTGTCACCTCCATCTTTACATTAAATGCTAGTTATTCATGAGCTGCATTAGATACTATATCTTTATGATTTATAATTATGAATTAACTATATCATTTATTTTCAAAACCCTAATAAACCTATTTTGGAGGTAAGAAATGGAGACCTATAGGCTAAGTAACTAGTCGAGTCTCCTGGTTTTTTTTTGTTTGTTTGTTTGTTTTTTGTTTTTTTTTTACAAGGAAGCTGAAAGAGGTTTTTACATTTTTAAAGGTGGTCACATTTTAAATGATTACATAAGTACCTATGTAATAGCCTTGATTTTTTCAGCACACAAATTATAAAAATATTTACTTTTTAGCCATTTAAGGAAAAGTTTGCTGACCTAAGTCTGGTCTAAAAGAAAGTTTACATTGCTGAAAGTATTATATGTAGTAATCCTTTTGTCTTAAGAGTTTATTCATTTGAGAGAGGCAGAGAATGAGCAGGGAGAAGGAGCAGAGGGAGAGAAAAAGAGAAGCAGACTCTGCACTGAACAGGGTGCCCAATGCGGCCTGAATCGCAGGACCTGGAGATCATGACCTGAAGGCAGATGTCTAACCAGCTGAGCCACCCAGGTGCCCCAGAGCATACATTTTATATCAAAACTATTTGCTGACTGCTTTATGTATCAGGCACTGTTTTAACTCTATAGATAGGGCAATTAATCTTAAGTGAGCTGCTATTGTAAACAAGAGAAGTACTTTAACCCTGTTTTATTTTTTTCCTCCCAGCTACAACACCGCAGTTAAATACTGAGAAAATAAAAATGCAATGATACCTTCAGTGTCTTAATTCATTTAGGGTTTTAAAACATTTTGCATATTTTATTTAAAAAGTACTGAAGTAATTTTATCACTTAGGACTATTCTCAGGAAGCAGTATTTTGTTGATAACAGAATCATGAATAACAAAGTCAAAAAGCTTTCTAGAAAGCCTTTATTTTTCTGTTATGAATAATTTTCTTGTGGTTATCCCAAATGATTTTATAAATTTCATAATTTTTATATGCCTAACTGGTATCGATGAAATGTCAAAAGTACAATCCTCATCCAAAGAAACAAAAGAACTGGACATACTGAAAGGTTCCGATTAAACTGATTATTTTAAGGAATAAAAGTAACTATATCCTCTTTCATTAATTAGATGGTGGTTTGGTACAATTTTTATACTTTTAATGACTTAGGGTTTTTCATGATAATTTCTTAGGCAACATTCCACCAAGTTACAGCTTTCCAAAAGTTGTAGTACTGTGTATAATGCTTTAGTATGATAGCACTTTTCATTTTTAAACCAGATTCAGGCTGAATGTGGCTTTCTTTTTGAATCTAAAATTTATGCTAAATTTGAATCTAAAATTTAAGACAGTGTCCCTAGTGTCCCATTACCTTTAATCAAAAGTAATAACACTTGTTGAAAAGTAAATTATGTGTCAAGTCATGAAACTTAAGGTTGTAGTAAAAGTGATAAAAAGTAAAGGGAAAAAAAAAACCCTTGTCTTTTTGATTAAGGCTTTATGGAATAGAATTTCTGTTTAATTAGAATGACTAAAGACCCTTTTTTGGCAATGAAAGCAAAAGCAGCAAGTAGAATTGTTAGATCTGTTTTTGTCATCTACTTATATTGCAACCTCAACTAGGTATAGTGCAGTAATATGAAATACTTTTGAAATACGTATTTTTTTTTAAATGGAACCTATAGAAAAATCACATGCTGTTAGATAGGATGTTGAAATGACTGCTGTATAATATTTTTTAAAACTTTCAATTTTGGTCAGCATACATTTTCTTTAATTTTCATTTCCAGTAGGATTTTTTTGAGGTTTAACATGTTTGAAGCCAGTATAAAGTTTTACAATGTAGTAATTCTGGATTCCAAGTCATTTAAGATGAAAATTGAAATGTGAAGTTTACTTAAGAAAATTAATTTTCTTCTTCTGTAACATCCAAGTCTTCATCCTCTTCATCATCATCATCTGCTTGTTGATCCTTTCTTAGTTGACAGGTGGATACCTGTTAAAAATTAGCACATTAAAAAAATACTAACTTAATATTTTTATGTGCTTGGAATCTTCTTAATATGTCCTTACAAAGAAGAGCACATAGAACATATATTTCAGGAAGATCATTTCTAGTAATGAAATTTCCCTATGAATTACTGTATTTTAAGGTTGAAAATAGGGTTTTCATTCATTTATGTTATTTTTGAGCAAAAATATGAAATTAATCATTTGATTCCAGTTGGATATACTAGGACTTCCATAACATAGAATACTAAAAAGAGAAGTACAGATTCAGGATATTATGTCAAGTATATTTTAGGTTAAGTGATTCTTTGACCATAAAAATAGGCATTGGAATGAGAATCATCAAATGCATAGCAAAAATTCCCAAGAACATTTCTACTAGGCAGATGATATAATTAAATTTAATACTGTGATTTAAATGGAATGAGTTGAGAATCTGAATTCACTACTGGGCTTTAAGTCCTCACCATTGGCACTTGGGTCATCTTGCTTCAGACCTTTCTGAGGGCGATTTGGTAATGTCTGGAGACGTTGTCACACCAAGGGAGGGGTGAGTGTGTGTGTGTTACTGGCATCTTGTGGGTAGAAGCTAGTGATGCTGCTGAACATCTTCAGAATGCATAGTATACTATTACTCCCCATTCCCTAGCTCAAAGTCAATAGTGTGGAGGTCAAGAAACCCTAGGATGATGTAATTTTAAAGTACTACACAGACGTTAGCTAATTTTGGTAACATTAAGTCTAAAATAGAAACAAACTTTGTACTATGATACTAGATGTATGGAATTTATGTGCAAAGCACTTCATGCTGGAATAATAAAATTGTAAGCTGGTTGGGGGAGAGGCATACATATAAAGCAGTAAAAAAATACCTAGAGGAGAACCAAATGAAAATAGGTGGTATTGGGTCCCATTTACCTAAAAGTTAAAATTTTGAAAATATTTTGCTCAATTTTAAATTCTGAATGCCAGATATGAAAAAAGGGGTATAGATCTCTAGATCAGAAGTTGGCAAGCTATACCCCAGTCTGCCTCCTGTTTTTGTAAATAAAGTTTAATTATAACAGCCAAATTGACTTGTTAATATATTGTTTATGGCTGCCCTTAACTTGGGATATAGACTATATGGCCTCTTTTCTCTATGGCCTCTTAGAAAACAAGGTTGTTCACCCTCCCAGTTCTAGATACCAGTAACTCAGGCTTTCTGGATACTGAAGAAGTGAGAAAATTGACTCCTACCCTAAAGATAATGTGCATCTGGATCTAAGATAATGCTCAGCAAAAGATCTTTTTTAGGTATAATCAGTAAGTCATGGTAGTGGAATTTAAACCCTAAGCAGTTTGACTTCAGAATATGCTCTTCATGTTATACTGCAGAACAAACCTAGATAAGCATTCCCTTGCCCTTTCCACCTCTGCTCTCAAATGTTCTGCTTTAGAGAGTATTATATGCCATAGTATAGAAGACAGGAAATAACAGCTGCACCCAGTATGATCATTTTATGTAAGAGGGTATGTTATATGAAGTCAGGACTTACAGGAAACATTTTTAGTACTGAATGACACCAAAGGCAGCTGCTCAAGTTCCTTTAAAATATGTATGATTTCTAGCTTACCTGTCCTGTTCCAGATAGACACTTAGCTGACAGTGATCTCTGAAGAGGTGACTTTGAATTTGCTCTTACAATGTCTAGACGAGATGAATAATCTGGTGGATACAGAGAATTTCGGAAAGCCTGTTGCAATGATAAAGCAATATTATAAAGTAGATATCAAACACTAGAATAATCTAGAAAGCCATATTAAGTTTCTCTTGGTTAAGATTTTTCTAAAGCAACCACATCCAGTCACCCACCTCCACCTCCCAGAACAAAATTTCTATTACTGTAAATTTAAAATACATATTTTTAAACATTTTATTTATCTGAGAAAGAGCACATGCTCAAGCAAGGGAAGGGCAGAGGGAGAGAAAGAACCCAGAGCAGGTTTCATGCCCAGGGCAGAGCCTACTCAGGGCTCAATCTCACAACCCTGAGATCATTACCTGAGCTGAAATCGAGAGTCAGACGTTTAACTGAGCCACCCAGGCACCCCCGTACGAAAAATATTTTAAGTTGTAAAGATGAAAGCTAAAAAGTTTATTTACACCAAGTGAGGTGATGATGAGAGTTTTGCTGAGGATATGTGTAAGTTGCTACCACCCTCAAAGAGGATGCCGGCCAGGAGGGAGCCTACAAGTCACTCATACCTTAGATTCTTTGTTTTCTGCCAGTCTCAACAATTAGTAATTTAACTTCATTGCAGTACTGTGGATAGTACATCACGTAAGAGTAAGTTGCACTCCAGTTTCACTAGAATCTAGAATCCCTTTGTCAGTTTTTTGCCTTAAAGCAACAGTTCCAAATACCACTCTCTTAAGCCTCTCTGTATCTTTGTCTTCCCCCATTTCTCTAACATACAGACTAGTAACTGGTAAGATTATCAGATGTGATAACTTCACTCTTTTTTTCCCTCAGCTCTTCACCCTGTCATGGTCAGGGTCAAATGTCATTCTGATATTTTCCAAGGTACATATATCCTATAACCAAAACTTAAAAAACAAAAAGCTTGCTTTCTCCACAGTTCCTTCCCCCAGCAAACAAGCCAAGATCAATCTTTTTTTTTTTTTTTAAATTACTTCAAGGTATAACTTTATTCCTTAAAAAACTTCTCAAATATTCTACTTCATCTCCATTTGTCAAAAACCCACAAGTAGTCTTTCACCTTCTACTGAGATTGCTCTTGCCAAAAATCACCAAGGTCATCTTTCTGTCTTGGTCTTTACTGACCTTGTTATGAAACTTCTTTTTCACGCATGCCATTTCTAAACCGTTCATGGGCTAGCTGCCCTATTTCTTCACATCTCCTTTTCTACTGCTTATACCTTAAATATTTTTATAAAGGGTTTCCCTTAGGCCATGGGTGGTTGTTTTATTTATACCTTTCTCTGAAAGATTAAGATAAATACAGTGTTTAATGGCTACCTTTCAACCAATTCTCTATAGGCTCTCTCTTGATAGCCATACTTACGTGCCCAACTACCTTCTGTTTTCCTAGACCAATAATGTCTAGTAGAATTTTCTAAGATAAGGGAAATGCTTGCTATCTTGTGCTGTTCAAAAAGGCAACATGTGGTTCCTGAGCCCTTTTCAAGGGCTCACATGTGGTTCATGTGAATAAGGAACTTCAAATTTTTTATTTTAGCCACAGTGGCTAGCTACTGTATTGGACAGTGTAGCTCTGCATTCACCTTACCAATGAATGATGTTACCATACAATTTAGTAGACCAAAAACTAAAACCCTGGCCATTGTCCCCTAAATTTCTCATCTGAGGTACTTCTTAGTTTTTTGACTCCACGCGTCTTTCTTTGTAGCTTACTTAGAATTATCTTACTGAAGACCAAAATATGTTATTAAAAAACTCAGTGGCTCCTGACTACCCAGGGTCCAAATTCTTTAGGTGACCTCCATGTCATCAAATGATCTTAATCACTCAAACCTGCCCACCACTCTTCACCTCTAGCCAATGTCCCTGTATGTAGAACATGTACTACTCTCCCTTTGCAGTGCTGATTCCTCAGCCTGGAATTCCAGCAAAATTCCAAGAGACAAGTCAAATGTCAACAGTAGCTCCTGTTGTCCATACCCTCAATACAGCTTTCATTTCATTGTTCTGTAATTACACATCTATCTCTCCTCCCAGTTTTAAGTTCCTATAGAGTAAGGAGCCCTGTTTTATCTTTGCAACTCCTCCACCTTAAGACAGTAACATGATAAGTGACGTTAACATGATCTTAATCCCTATGTTCTAGGGGAAAAAAAGACTCCACTAAGGGATGTCTTTATACGTTCCTTTAAACCTTAGAGAAGTAAGTGCAAGACACAAAAGAAATTGAGAGATGAAACTTAACCCTACAGGTGAGACTTGTGTTGTAGGGCAATTCAGGCATGCTTAGCATGTTAGGTTATTTAACATGTTACTGAGGACTCAGTTATGTTCTGGTGCCAGATATGGAACACTGGCATCCTAGTATGATATAAAGACTAGATGACTCATTAATTAGCTGGTACTTGGAAAGGATACATTTTTGGTAGAACATTTCTTTTTTTAACTGTTCCAGCAAAGATGAGGTTAAAAATGGAAAATGGAAGACAGTATACACCCACAAGATAAAATTCTAAACCAGTTAAATATTAAAATTAATCTCAATGCAGGGCAACAGATTTAGAGGAATATTTATTGGCAATAATCCATTTCCCAATATGGTCCAAGATCTCTTCTAGGAGTGAGTCTCGAGATGTTCTGAAGTGATTGCGCAGAGGTGATCTTTTGAAGGGGAAATGAGCCTGACAATGCTTTTTTAAATGAAGAACAAATAAGGTAAGATGGTTTGTGATATAACTAGATACCTAACTGCAAAAAAAATTAGCTGCTGCCAGAATAAGTCTCAGCAGCTCTCGTAAAGCATAGACTACCTAAGAGCAACAAGTTCTATTTCTGTTCCTCTCTTCATATTTTCTCTACTTGTTTCCAAGAAACCCTGTATTTAAAGGATCCTTTTCCTTTTTGATACCTGTTTATTATTTTATGTCCCCTGGTCCCACAACTGTCCCTGGACTCCCTTCCTCTCCATAATCTCTATATGGCATAATAGTAACAGTTTATGTCAGTAGTTCCTCATGCCTCAGGACCTTTGTGTATCTATCTGTATCCTTCGCCTAAAGGGTGTTGCCAGGGGTCCTCCAACACATCCCTCAAACTTCTAATCAAGAAACCATTCTTTGATTCTCCAGACTATTTTGAATTCTCCAAAACATACATTCATAGCACACTATATACTTTATGAGACTGGTCGTATTATAAAACTTAAAATAGTTACACAGTGTAGGCATACCTGGTCTTATTGTATTCCACTGTATCGTGCTTCACACATACTCTGTTTTTTTATGAATTGAAGGTTTGTGGCAATACTGCTTTAAGCAAGTCTTGATGCCATTTTTCCAATAGCATTTGCTCACTTCGTGTCTCTGTGTCACATCTTGGTAATTATTGTAATAGTTTAAACTTTTTCATTATTATTATTACTACATGTGTTATGGTGACCTGCGATTAGTGATTATGACTGATAGCTCAGATGATGGTTAGCATCTTTTAGCAATAAAATATTTAATTTAGATATGTACACTTTTTTTTAAAGATCTAAAATGCTATTGCACATTTAAACTATAGTATGTAATGCTGTATATTAATTATACTGGAATTAAAATAAACTTAAAAAATAGACTATAGTTTAAACATAACTTTTATATGTACTGGGAAACTAAAATATTCATTTGACTTGCTTTATTGTGATATTCCTTTTGTTGCAGAGATCTGGAATACTGCAATCTCTCTGAGGTATGCCTGTATATGTTTTTAATATCTGAACTAGATTTCTTAAGTTTTTGCTTAAGTCAGACCATTTCTGACTTACAATGTTTAATCCTCAGAACTTAGAATGGTGCCTGGCATATAACAGGCGCTCAATAAAAAGTTGCTGAATGAACATTTTATGAGGTAAATGCTGTATCTCTATTTTAGAGATAAGGAAGCTGAATTATGAAGAACTTGCTTAATATTGCCCCACGACAAAGTGGGGAAGTTGATACCTTGTCAAAAAACATATCTACCACACAGCCCTGAGATCTTTAGTTTTTTTTTATGAATCTCTCTTCTCATGAGCTACCTAGTGTGTTGCCTAAGAATAGCAGTAAGAGAAGTGGTGTGACCAAACACCTAGCTGGGACCACTGGGATGAGAAGGAAAATGTTGGGGTCCAGAGGAAGTGAAGGGACTTTGGTGACTGTTAACAAATGGCATGTCAAGGGCATCAGAAAAAGGAGAATGGAAATGCTTGTAATGAGGACTCCAGTCTTGTACGAAAAGTGGGGGACAAATTCTGAACCTGCCACTGAATGCTGTGATGTTTCTTGGAGGGAATCTGAACATCATTTTTCACAGGATAGAGAGGATACAAACACCGTGTCAGTAGTCAGACTTCTGGGTTTGGCTCCCAGCTATATTACTTATTAGTTGTGGGCCCCTCTGGGACGTTTCTTAACCTCATTCTGCCTCAGTTTTTCTCTTCCATAGAAATGAAGACAATTAAGTACCTCTATCAAAGTAGATGGAGGAATTAAAATATAATTAAAATGCGTAGGTCAGTAGCTGCCCAGAGTAATCACTATATAAACATTTGTTATTTTTTCATTTTACAGATGACAAAAGCTCGATCTATTTTTTTTTTTTTTACAGAGTACATGAAAATAGTGAAAATTAAGAAATCTTAGCTTTAGTATTTGGAAGGAATGGTCCCTTAGGAAGCCATTTATTGAGAAACAAAAAGCAGAAATATCATGTATGCATAACTGATAGAAAACTGTGAGATTCCTGGCGTTGGAAAATATATGTATGTACACACACACACACATACACACACACACGTACCTTTCTTCATTTTTGTCAAACTGTAATCTGATTTTACTCAATTAAGTTTCTTGGAATCAATGGGGTAGTGAGAAGAGAAGGCCCCGGGGGTCACTTTATAATGGACAGTTTAATAAATAAACAACTTGGGGATTCTTCACAATTGTCAAGTGGCAGATACTCTCAAATTCTATCAATAAAGAATTCTGGTTCTATCTTGAGATGACCTGGCCTTTCTCACTTCTACTATAGAGATAATATGGACAAAGTATGTCTCCAATATTCTAGCTGTTTCAGCAAAAATACTTTTCTGCCATTTTTCCTCCCTTTTAGAAGGTAGGGGTGTATGACATTATTCACTCTTCAGATAATGCTTGTTGAAGCCAGGTTTTGATTTAGGTGCTCTAACATTAGTTGGCCAGCTGGACTTGAATTCTCAGTACAAAACAAGCCTGATTAAGTCACACAAAACTGGTTAGAATCCTGATTCTGCTACTTACAGCTAAGTGTCCATGGTCACGCTAAGTTACTGAAAGCCTCTAAACCTGTTTTTGTAGTTGTAAAGATGAGAATAACAACAGCTTGTACCTTACAGGATTGTGTGAGAAGTGAATGAGAAAATGCATGTGAAGCTCTGAGTATTTTGCATAGCACAAATCAGTATTATGGTTAGCACACTGGCTTACATCACTAGTCAAAATGACACATTATTTCATGTAATGACCCTGTTAACTAGCTATTAATAAATTAATCCTTGAAACTTTACTATGGCTAATCTGAAAAGTCAAAAATGCTTACTTAAGAAAATCATGAAAGTTAAACTATTTGGGACTGCATACAGTAATATAAACCACTGTAATGCTCAAAGTCAAAAGATATTTTTGCCCACACAACCAGTGCTTTCTTTTAACCGTTTCCATCTTAACAGAAGAACTGAATTTAGATAGACATAGTCCTACCTCCAAATCTTCTTCTTCATCAATCTTTTGTATGTTTTGGTAGGCAGCAGTGTAGACCTCTAAAGCTTTGCCATGAAATAACATTTCAATAGTGATAAATTCTGAAAATATAGTCTGAAAAAAAAACAGATTGGAATTTAAACAATCATATGAACCTGTGGATTTAGTAAATTTATTGCTTACTATAGTCTTGGCATTTTATGAAATATAGAGGTATCTCTTTTTCCACAGGGCAAATGAAGTACAAAAGATAACGGGTATAAAAATAGTTGCAAAGACCTTTGGCAGCACAACCTTGAAATTACACACAGTATTTCCTATCTTACCATTTACTTCCTCTTATTTAGTTCTTTGTACACCTTGGAATTGACATTTGTGATTTAAAAAGAAAAGATCCGATTAAAATGTATACCATTATGTACCCTGTTGCCATATGCCTATAATTATTAGGTAAAACAGGTCAGTTCTAAACCTGGTGTTTTAGTAATTCAAACTGATGTTTAAACAACAATGTCTTTTAGACAGGAATTATATTCAGTCCTATTTCTATGTGTTACTTGTATTCTCTAACCACAAAGGAATTAGTAATTATATTGTTACCACTGATAATAGCATCGTGCATTTGCATAGGACTTGGCAAGTGTCGCTCACAGCTAGAATGTTGAAACTTGGGTCTGATTCTTCAAAGGCTATAGCTCTTGTACTGTGCTATTCTTGCTGGAATCAATAATTTCTCTCACAAATAAACTGCACGTAGACTCTGAGCATGATGACAACGTATGACAAGTAAAATCATGGGTTAAGAGAATGAGGATAGACATGTTGATCTAAGCAGGGGTGAGATAATTGGTATAAGAAAAGATACAAACCAGACAAGTGTTTCATAAAATAGGATCTTCTCCTTTTGTTATCTTGTTCCTCATCAAAATAAATCAGAGCATTAAAGTGGAGAGAAGTAGGCAGAATAAGAACAAGGTAGAAAATACTCATTCACTGTCCTTCAAGGGGCAAGAGAGAAGAGATGGGTTATAGAAGACAAGAGTCAGATGTCCCTTTCTCCTCGTTCCTGCTCTCCTGTGTTAACCACCCAGATAGGAGTGACCCTACACTTTGGAAGACAGTGTTACAGGTATCCCTATTGTCCCATGGTTCCTCCTGCCCCCATCTCCATTCTTTCTTCAGAATTACAAGAATATTTATGGGAATATGAATAGGCTTCTGATCACTACTCAATGTAAGCAGATCTGTAGTTGAAAAGGATCCCTTCTGGCCTGCAAATATTGGGCTCTGGGATGAGAGGCAGCTATGACTCAACAGTGACCCTTACTGTCAGTTCATATAGGTCACAGAGGATTCTGGTCTACTGGAACAGCACCTGACTAATATGCAGCATTATGCCTAAGGATCTCCAGATACTCAGGAAATATCTTAGAGGTGAACTGGCTTTTGATTAGGACTGGGACTTACTTAGTTCTCAGTCTTCCTAAGAGAGCTGGTGAGCTAGAAAGGAGTGCCCGTTAGAAGAGCAGCAGAGCACTGAAGACTCCTACTTGCTTCTTGGTCTGCAGCTCTTTTTAGGTAATGGGACAGTCAAGCACGGCTTACATCTTTTCTTCTGAATCTTAAATTTAGGGATTTTTCAACATTTAGTAAGTAAGGAACTATGTTAAAAAATACATAGTTTGACTTTATTCAAGGCTGAAACAGAAAAGTTTTTCATTTACTTAGGCTTAGAATTCTACAGTAAACCCTTAAACTTGTTTCAGGTTAAGTACAGAGGGAGGTAGAGAATTGTATTTTACAATGTTACATAGTCAACTCTGTTTTAGTTTTCCTTGGATATTTCCAGACCATCTGTTTACTTATGTGGAGAGAGAAGAGAAGGCATGCTATAAAAGTACCTAAGAAATAAAGAGCCTCAAATAAGGAATTAAGTTTCAACACTCGAGTTAGGTGTTATTCCTGTTTTTAAATATTTCCACAGATGGATATTCTAAATCTTTAAGACTGGCACACTAATAACTAGTGGAATCCACACATTTACAATGTTATTACACCTAAATCTGTAGATTTAGGCTTAATTCAAGTCTATTTCACTGTGGTAACTTTATGGAATATGCAAACCTCTTTAAATATTTTTCAAATATTTGAATATAGTTATTAAATTTTTTAAAGATTTTATTTATTCATTCACGAGAGACACATACACACACACACACACACACAGAGAGAGAGAGAGAGAGAGAGAGAGAGAGAGAGGCAGAGACACAGGCAGAGGGAGAAGCAGGCTCCGTGCAGGGAGCCCGACGTGGGACTCGATCCCAGGACTCCAGGATCAGGCCCTGGGCCAAAGGCAGGCACTAAACCACTGAGCCATCCAGGCTGCCCAGTTATTAAATTTCTGATGGTTAAAAATCTCTCAATGTGTCATCTCTGAACTAACATTTATTTAATACCAACATTTTATAGGATTTACATTCCCCTTAGCTCATAAGCCCTGAAAAATATGTAGATATGTCTGTCAATGAAGAAAGATACATTATTTTTATTTATTCATATCGTCTGTTAAGAGAAACTACTGCATCCTCATTTTAAGACACTGATCAGTTTTTAGTCTGTTACCATTTCCCAATCTCAAAATTTAGTTTCAATTAGTGACAAGTACTTTACAAATTATCTGTATCAACGTCTGTTATTTACTACTTGGAAGATGGGGAAATCAGTCTTAAGTTTTGTGATACTTTGGTTTAGTCGTCTATGGTTTGAATTTTTATTTCTTGACAAAACCTATCACACTCACTAAATAAGATGAGAATGGCCCTACTGTTTTTTTATACTGTTTTTCTATCAGAATGGGAAATGGGAAATCAGTAGTTCTGGTAACCTAGTATCCCAGACTTACAATCTCTGACCCAAGAGTCATGAGGCCTAAAGATTATCACAGAGGAGAGTTGTATCCTTGAGTAGAGTCAGGAGACAATACTGCCAATTATGCTCTTCCTAGTTAGAATATCATAAAATATGTGAAAATAGGCAGAAGGAAGAAGAATAATAGCAAGGAACATAAAAGCTAGGTGATGACTAATATAAGAAAGAATATAAAATGCATGTTTTTGAAATAGAATATTTTCAGTGAATGACTAGAAGGGTGGCGGAACTTTCTAGGAACCAGTCATATTTAGAAATAATTTTCCTCAAATAAATACAGCTAACTTTCAGGGATCTCATGTAACCTTATCTGGAATGAGTCAGTATAATCAAGGACAGAAGCATTAATGAGTTACTTCCCCCCCCCCTTTCAATTTTTATTTTGTGTGACTAGAAGACAATTTGGGTGCATGCTTAATTTTTAATCTGAGGGCTGAGGGAGCTAATCTGAAATCCTCTACCTGTTGGCAAGTATTCTCTAAAGCAGGAGAGTTCTTAATTTAGTAGTTAAGAACATGGGCTCTGGATTAAGATAAATCTGGGTTCCAATCATGACTGAAACCTAAGAGCTATAAAATATTGAGCAGTTCACCTATTCTTTCTCCTAATTTCTTTCATCTGTACAATGGGGATGACAACAGTGTCAACCTCACAGGATTAATCCTCAAGGATTAAATGAGATGATCCAAGAAAAGGTATAGTATGGAAACTGGTTTGGAGTAAGTGCTCAACACACGTTAGCTATTTTTATTACTCAAGAAGTAAACTTGCTAAGTTAGAAAATGTTCCTTTTCCTAATATTAAAGCCTCCATCTGATTTAATTAGCAAGCAAGACTTTTAACAAGTCATAAAAGGTCATACTAACATTTTGGCAAATAAAGGGGAAATCATGTTCTCCAGAATAGAGTCTCTCCAATAAATGATGTCAGGAGAAATTTATCTACTTGAAAAGAATGAAGTTAATACCTACCTCATACCATGTCAGAACACAACTACTAGATAAAATGTTTAAATACTTAAAAAAATTTTAAATATCACATTTACTAGAAGAAAATATAACCAAGTATACAATCTTTAGGATGAAAACAACCTTTCTAAGCATGACACAAAGTCAGAAACCAAAAAGGGGAAAACCATTAATAGACCTGGCAAAAAAAATAAAACTTTAGGGCAAAAACACACCATGAACAACAAAATGGGAAAATACATTTCGCAACATGAGGGTTAATTTTCTCTATATAGTTTTTTACACATTAATAAGAAAACTGCCAATATTCAATAAAAATATAGGCTAACAAGTGTGGGTCATTTACTAAAGAAATTTGTCCTTAAATATATGAAAATATTCTGTCTTAACTGCAGTAACTGCAAGTTAAGATGACACTGATTTTTTCACCTATCAGATTAGTTATTAAAAATACTGCTACTCTTCATTGGTACACTGGGGAGCCCATGCAAAGTTTTGTAGAAATATAAACTTGTTAAAATTTTGTGAAGTTTAAAGATCTGTGGATAGAAAGTATCAAACTTTAAAGGGTGTATGCTCTTTGAATCAGAAATACCACTCTGGTAATTTATCTCAGAAGAATAGCTGGATCAACAAAGGCCAATGTTTAGTGGCGGTGAGATTTATAATTGCAAAAAATAACCTAGATAATAACCACATAAGGACTGGTTAGATATAGCCATAGCGAAATACTATGAGGATACCAAAAAGGATGATCTCCATCTCTGTTTCTTGGCACATATGTCCAGGATATATTAAATTTTAAAAAGAGATGCTATACATAGTGTGGTCCACTTCAATATAGCTATATGGGGTAATGATACTATGTTCCTCATAAGGATGTTGTGAGGAGTATGAGTTTATATCCATATAAAGTACACAGGATATGTGACATAACACCTAAGAAATACTTGTTACTATCATGTCTCTTGTGTATATGTGCATAGAAGAACATCAGAATGATATAAACCAGAGTGCTGATTATTTCTGAATAGTAGGATTACATTTTTCTCAATGGTTGTATTAAAAAAAACAAACTATGGTGACTTTATATTTAGCTATAAGAAAAATAAAGCTTTTAAAAATTAATTTAGATGTTTCTTGCTCATGTCAGCTACTTTGCCACATACTACATTCCTGTCCCTCTGTTCTAGGAGTGACCCCTGGTCAAGATCCTTT